TACTATAGTAATTTAATAAAGATTGGGGGTTAGGGTTAGGGATTGGGGTTAAAGTTAGAGCTAGTGGTAGGGTTAGTCTGTGTCTTTGAGGCGGTAAGGGCTAACAAAGATCCCTAACACTAACCCCCACCCACAACACCCCTAGAATATTGGCCTTTCCTGGAAACTCTTGGATTTCTTTTGTCTGGGGTGAAGGTAAAATAAAGTACAATGAAAGAGATATGAGAAATAAATGACAACCTATGTTACACCTGTGGCCTGTCCATCCCGGCTCACACCTCCAAGGACACAAACCGCTGGCCACATGACACGTCACGTTGTCCAGACAGTGGTGGCACCGACTCCCACAATCGATACCGTAGGTTCCAGACATGCACGCTGAAAAACACAAGTTTAACAACACAGGTTCAAGTCAAGTAACAGTGAAGGACTTCTTTCCGTACCTTCAGGCGTGTATTGGGCATAAAGGGCTAGATATATATTGTTTAGAGCAATCGACACTCGGTGGGTGATGTGGTCTACACGAGACTATCATTACACTTTCTACTGGATAACTGGGGAAAAAGGGAGTGGGAGAGACTGGAAATCTTGAGCCCTTCCAAATCATCAAATTCATGGAAAGAAGGGGGGGGGGGGGGCAAGGGGAGAGGGGGGGGGGCGACTAAAGTCCCCATAATAATTATTAGAGGAACCGAGCCCCTACCCTCTAGGAAATTGGTACGCTGATTAAGAGGTGCCCATTATCATGTATATGTATTCTCTGTTTAAAAATGGTATACATTTCATGTTATTTTACATACATCATTATATTTATTTGCCCTTTAGCACATAATGATAATAATAATGATAATGATGATGATGATAATAATAATAAACATTGCACACTTGAACAAGTCTTAAGCCTCTTGAGCGAGGAAATTAAAAGCTGGGCGAGCTCCCGCCCCTGCTCCCTCCCCCAAATATTTTTTGGTGGCGGCACAAACTGCTGGACAAGTAAAATACTGGCACCTGTCCATCTTTCCAGTCGACAGTCTAGAAATTTTCTCCCTAGTAGGAAGGTGTGCTGGAAACGAACAGGCAGAAATACTGGCTGGCACTGCACAACTTAGTGGAATGCTGATACATGATAAGGCAGAAATGGCACTACATGGCACTACAGTCTGGTGAGATCGATTCAGCGGGAGATGACGAGTGGATCTGGTCTGTCTGTCTGTCTGTCTGTCTGTCTGTCTGTCTGTCTGTCTGTCTGTCTGTCTGTCTGTCTGTCTGTCTGTCTGTCTGTCTGTCTGTCTGTCTGTCTGTCTGTCTGTCTGTCTGTCTGTCTGTCTGTCTGTCTGTCTGTCTGTCTGTCTGTCTGTCTGTCTGTCTGTCTGTCGTTTTCTACCTTCTTTTTCTTCATTTTCTTCTTCTTTGCGTTCACTGCGTGTAAGCTCAAACAGAAAGCCTTGTTTTTTCGTCCACTTCAGAACTTTGGTCTTGTTGCAGAATTTAAGTGTTTTTTTTGGTTGGGCGGTGTCCTTCCGTTTTACAGATCTGGCTTATCTGTACGCAGATTATTGATTGCTAGCCGCTCAGATAAATGCACTCCGACTTCGAAGGAAGTACACATAATTAGTCGACTTTTACGACATGCCCGTTGGGGAAAGGGGGGGGGGGTGGTCGGGGGGGGGGGGAGAGAGTGGGTCCATAATTTTTTTTCCAAACCATACAATGGTCTACGAAAGATAAGTTTAACCTTGAAGGACAATACGCCTGAAAGCGTGGACAATGGTCTTTTAGATTATTTACTTCACAAGAAATTAGCATTAAGAAAAAGCAGTCCACAAGCAAGGAAACACGAAGTCTTCTAAAAGATGGGTAAGATTCACGTTCATCTCCCCAAATAGAGTAGGTATCTTTTCATTCACCAGTTTGTTGGGCTGGTCGACTTTCATGAAGGTTACGGGTATGTTCCGCTCTGTTTTTTTTTTAAATTTCTGTGATGTCTTGCTTTTACGTTTTCATTCTGAGAAAGAGAATGCCTGTGATAAAGGTTGCAGCACTCTCTAGGGGGAACCACATTACCAACCTAATGCCGATTGGTCTGTAAAAATATGGAATGCTCTTCCCATATGCCCGATGCGCCTAAGGTGTGAAAATGGATCTTTACTGTTTTTACTAACTATCTAGAAATGTTGTGTTATAACCAGTTTGTCCATGTTTTTGGAGTGTTAAAAGCGGTGGCTTGCTGAAATATACAACATGTGATATCAACGGCATTGCGGAACACCACCGTGACCTTGTACCAAGGTGACAGGTTCAAAAACTACCAACCATAAGAGAGCTAGTGTGTGATAGGTACTGATGTAATTACAAGCAAACTCACGCTGTTGACACCAAGGCCCCGTCCAGCCCGGCGCGCAGCCCTCTGGACACAGTCCCGTCTCGTGATCACACAGCTGATCATCATAACAATGACCGCAAACATGTCTGCAAGCTTTTCCATAGCGACCGCTGCAAGCTGTAATACATGTTAATAAGTGGGATCGTCAGGATTAAAAGCAATCAGGTACAAAAGTTCTGCAGACTATTTTTAAAAAAAAATATCGTTAAAAGAGAGAATAATTAGCCACATTAAAAGTCATATAATTGAAGTAACAACTACTTTTCGTCCTTCTTAGGACGTTATTTTTTGTTATTTGAAGCCCCACTCTGGCTTTTGCCAGGGGCCGCAATATAGGCAGGTCATCATTATGGCCAAATGTCTGAACGCGGTTTCTGGGACCTCTCCACGGTGATCCTCATCCGCATGGTGGCACTTTGTGTCATCGGGTGTTTATCGCTTGTGTGATGTCCTGGTGGGGTAAAAAAAATCCAATCCAATCCAAGTTTGTTGCGTATCTTCTGCAGCCATTTTTTAAATTTGTGGTCCTCTCCAGCCACATAAAAAAAAAAAAGGTTCTAACCTGTAAGTAGGAAGCATGAACGATCTGATTGGACCAAGTAGAGGAGAGTGGGCCGGCTCCGCCGGATGGAACCTCACTCACTACGACCTGAAGAATGACTTCAACGCCACAGATGTATTAAACCCGCACCTTTACGTAAGACGCAAGGAGTACGAAAGCAATCTACTCAAAGAAATGTCAAGAGCCCACTGCGTCATCAGTACGAGAGTCGCACCCAAACAGGGATGGAGCCAGCCCAACAGCAAACAGAGGAACCATCGCAACCCATGCTACGCTTTCGCAAACAAGAAACATTAGCAATCCAGAGGCGACCCAAGCAGACAAACCATGCAGAAACCAAACAACCAATCGGAACCAACCAAAACCGCCATGACAGCCCACCGGCACGAAGAAACCACAGCTCGCTACCAGCCAGGCATGTTGTCACCCGCCAAATCTACTCCCACCCTACCCGATCCGGGCCGCCCCAGGCAAACTCTACTAGTCCTTTTCAGGACTAGTAGGCATCCACTCCCAATCAATGTTGCAGAAACAAGCAAGAAATAAGGCGTGAGTACACGTCAACAATACAAAATGAAACCGCACAGAAACAAGGACGCAAGTAAAGCAAGGCCCCAGAGGTCCGCCGAAGAGTCCGAATTTTTTATAAAAATAATTTTTTAGTCAAGTCAAGTAAGTAGCAACATAGAGTAATTCCGTCCCCATGTTGTGGGGAATTTTTCGCTATTTTGAAGCGCCACCCTGGCTGTTTGCTGGGGTTGACGCTCAGTCTGATGTCCTGGTGTGGTAATAAGTCAGTCAGTCTAAGCAGGAACAAAATGTCAAGTCAGTTAAAAACATAGTTTGATAGCACTGGATTAAATAATACCTATTCAATATATACGCAGAAAATATAATGAGAAATGTCAAAAATGACCAGACTTGTGACAGTTATGATCCGCTCAAAATTTGTGGCAACCCTATTTCGGAATTCCGCTACGCAGATGACACAGTCCTAATTTCGAACAGCGTAAAGGGAATAGACAATTTAATATTGTCTGTCCAAAAGCATAGAGAAGATCAAAATCTGTTCTTGAATTTAAAGAAAACGAAAATAATGTCCACAGATAAAACTGGCTGTCACCCAAAAATAACAATAAATGATGAAGAAATTGAAAAAGATACAAACTTTGAATATCTAGTCTCTATAATAAACAATACTGGAGACTTTTAGACATAAATTAAAAGGAGGATGACAATAGCAAAACAAAGATTGAACAGCCTTAAAAGTCTATGGTTAAGCACCAGCAAGGAAATAAAAATTGGAATTTTGAGAGCATGCATCTTCCCTGTGGCTAGATACGGATGTGAGTCGTGGACTATCTCTCAGTCCTTAAGAAAGAGAATAGGGGCTTTTGAGCTGAAATGCTATAGAAAGATTCGCAGAATATCTTGGACAAAGAAGATGAGAAAGATTGACATCTTAAAAATTCTGAATATCAAGGAAGATTGGCTCCTTTCTCGAAAGCTGAAATATTTTGGTCATATCAAGCGCCACGACGGATGGGAAAAAATTATAGCAGAAGGCATGGTACCAGGAAGGAGGGGCAAGGGCCGACGGACACGAAGATGGGCATAGGATATAAGTGACTCATTGAGTGTGAAAGTGCATGAGGCGGGAGAACTGGCGAGAGACCGAGTTTCTTTCAGGCAGACTGTGATTAGAGCGACGTTCTGCAAAGGACCTGCTACATGATGATGATGATGATGATGATGATGGATTAAATAAACAAAGGAACTGACAACTGGACAGTGATAAATGTGATTCCTATTTTCCAGGTCTGCGGGTATGGTTAAAAAAAAAACGCTTTCAGATTACCCCTCCCCAGAAGGTCGATAAACATGTGCAGTATATATCGGCTATTTGTATGTTCTATCTTGGCAATTATACGTGTATAGTTCACTAATAATTATAGAATATTCTATACAGCCTTTCTTCGACAAATAAGGTGAGAAAGACAACTCTCAAGAGCTATATAAATCCTATCCTGATATAAGGAAGTGAATCATGGATAGTTGGTTGATAAGTGGAACATTATGTGAAAGCGGCGGAAATGTGGTTTAATAGACGAATGATCAGAACATCCTGGCACATAAAGAGAGTAAAGAAGATGTAGAAGAAATTAACACACTAAGAGAACTGACTGCCACATCAACAAGAGACAGTCTACATTCTTTGGTCATGTCACGAGAAGGAGACAGCCAACATTCTTTGGTCTTGTTACGAGAAGGAAACAGTCTACATTCTTTGGTCATGTCACGAGAAGGAGACAGTCTACATTCTTTGGTCTTGTTACGAATAGGAGACAGTCTACATTCTTTGGTCATGTCACGAGAAGGAGACAGTCTACATTCTTTGGTCATGTCACGAGAAGGAGACAGCCTACATTCTTTGGTCATGTCACGAGAAGGAGACAGTCTACATTCTTTGGTCATGTCACGAGAAGGAGTCAGTCTACATTCTTTGGTCATGTCACGAGGAGGAGACAGTCTACATTCTTTGGTCATGTCACGAGAAGGAGACAGTCTATATTCCTTGGTCATGTCACGAGAAGGAGACAGTCTTCATTCTTTGGTCATGTTACGAGAAGGAGACAACTGCAGTTCATCGTGACAATGGGAAAAGCTGGAGAGAAGAAAGAGGCCACGGAGACCATGGACAGTCTGACATCATGGCATGGAAGGTCATGTGTGTCAGAATTGACTAAAAGTACTCGAGACAGAATGTTGGAGATAGACAAGATTATGAACGCCACACAACATAGACTATAAGAATAAATTTGCTACTAAACAGTTACACACTCAGAACCAACGTAAAATCATCTAATGCATCATAATCATCATCAATATTTACTTCTGCCGTTTAGTGTTGTGGGCAGGAACAGTTTGCGACCCAGTGCTTGATAGGCAGCAATGTCTATTGTCATTCCGTATCGACGCAAAAGCTCTAATGTTATCAGTTTATCAATTCTTGGGCGGCTTCTTGCTTTAACTTCAGATCTTTTCATGTATAGTGCCTGCGATGGTAGTTGTTCTGGCTGCATTCTTCCTAAATGTCCAAACCATTTTATCTTCTGTTTCTCAATGAATTTGCTGCATGGTGTTGTTCCTACAGTCTGTCTGATAATATCATTTCTAACTTTGTCTCCGATATCTAATTCATCACTCGTTGAAGAAAAAACAAAATGTTAATTTTGGCGATTGTGTAAGATGGTGCAGCATGATGGCCTACGCATACTGTCTTTTCAGATAAAGATGTTATGTTCTAAAAGGTACGTCACAGTTACCGCTGCACTATCAGTTACTTCAGTCACTGAACTATCTGAAATTTATTTACGCAGCTACCAGATCCGGGTAGAATTCTCGAAAGGGACCAATAACTTGATTACATCCTGGTTAACTTCAGATAAAGTAGATCTGGTCCTTCTGACGGTCTGACAGGATGTTCTTCCAGTCCATGTCCCCAGGCTGCTTCGTTGTCTAGGATAATGCGACGGTTCTTGCGTGTCTGATCTTGTTACATAATTAAACGTCTTTTCGGTCTGACTGTGTTTGTTCTAGCATTTCTTCTTCACTGGTGTATTTGTACTGTCCTGTCTCATTTGGTCTCTTCTATGTAAATACTTTTGCAATGATGTTGTCTCATTTGGTGTCTCTTCTATGGTAATACTATTGCACTGATGTTTTGTCTCATTTGGTGTCTCTTCTATGTTAATACTAGTGAACTTATGTTTTGTCTCATCTAGTATGGTTCCTATTATATGCAAGTATACTGGTGTAGTACCTGCCTCATTCTTTATCTGGTCTATGTAAATACGATGTCTCTTTCTCGCGTGGCTGATCTTGCTGCATAATTCCACTTCTTTTCGGCCGGACCGTGATTGTTCTAGTCTTTCCTCTTTATTGATAAATGTGTATATTCTTGTCTCATTGGGCTTTTCTTCTGTGTAAGTACCAGTGTACTGATATATCGTCTCACACAGTCTATATTCTATGTAAATTCGAGTATACTGGTAGACAGGGATGCTTCGAGCAGACTAGCAAGCTTCACTTAAAAGGTCACGGGTAGTGAGCATACTTTGGATCTTTTCTCCAGGCAATGCCGGCTTGGTGGGTAATAAACAGGCAGACAGATTGGCTGGATCTGCACCACTGGGTGGCAAATTGATACTGTGGTCAAGGCCCTTTGAGAACAGCAATGGAATCAGTAGAGATAGAAGATTATTATGGCCTAGAGAGAATGAGGCATCTGGATGTAACCAGAGGGTCTGGCCGGCTGACTACACTCAGAAGAAAGGCAAGACGGACATATAACCAGATTGTGACCGATACCATCAGTACCGGAACTCTACGCTGGCTGCTGAAGATAAGGACGGAGCTTGCAAGGGAATGCCCCGAGTGCTGTGATGTCAATTTTTGACTCAACTCAACTCATACGAGTATACTGATACATTGCCTCGCCATAGCCAGATCCTTTTATATCAAGTACAGTGATATCTTGTCTCATCGTGTCCCT